ACACACACACACACAAAATGATGTATGGACCTCATGTGGGTGCCATTTCCAAGTTTCTAATTCGTCTCTCTATTAAAGGTGGGTGGTATACAAAATATAAGTTATTCAGGATTATTATTCAGGATTTTAAATGTCACATCAGAAAAAGTGCACCTAAAGCATCAAATCAACTTTCTTTGTGTCAGCTACTGCAGCTATTAATAGCAATATCACTGACAGAAATTCACAGATATTAACCTATTTTGCTATAACAAATGGATGTGTAAATGCTAAAACGAAAGTGAAGATGAAAAATGGACAACAAGCTGCTACAAGGGCAGGACTAAATGATTACAAACTAGTTTGAAAAAAAACCTTTATAGTATTTGGTGGACATGACTTGGTTTTAAACGGTGAAATACAATTATTATTGGGGATGTGCAAAAGTCACCTCCAAAAGAAACAAGTAACTGCAAGTATGAGAACTTAAGCCCTTAAGACACCCTTGTGCTGTGCATGTGGTTGACTTCACAACCTAGCTAACATAAGACTATGTAGGTTTGTCCACTGAAGAGCAGAGTGTCACCAATATCAACCCAAGTTTTAAGAAGATCCAGGAGAACAGCAGTGTTGTACTAGAAGTGATTGCTGGTTATGTTTAAAGTTGGACACAATATGTCTCTTACTCCACTGTAAAGTCAATTATCAGTGTATGTGCAACTATTTGTGATGTGAAACATCATGCTCCTAGGACCTGGCCTTTAAAAGCCCACTTTTGTTTTTGTCATGTTGAATTGAATGACGGGTGCACAAACTACACAACTGATCTCAGGCCAGGTGTACTGATTACAAGCTTATTACACTTGGAAAAAATCCAAGACTGGAGAATCGCATAAGAAGTCACTGTGGGGCAGATTGCAGATAAGCCAGTAATGGAAGGACATTATGCCCACTACAGCTGGGAATCTACATAAAGACATAATTCCCATTCCAACTGTACGGTGGCTGAGATTAAGTGAAACGTTGTGATTACTATTGCTATGTGATATGTTACTCAGTGTCCTTGTTTTCACAGTTACCATGGTACATGGCTTTTGAATTTCGCTGATACCTCTCGGCCACCATACAACTGGCATTGGTGAAAACAATGTATTTACAGCATGTAATACCAATAAGCAAACTTTTCAACCAAAGCAAAGCAACCCTGAAGTTATATAGCAGCTGTTGCACAGCACTGTGAAAAATGAGAGAACTGAACACACACACAGCATAAGCTCGGCAGGAATAATAATGACTCTTATCCTCCCAATAGACACCACATGTTTTGGTTTAACATACAGACTCCACATCATGTTACATTACAGCACATATTAGATCATTATCTTTCTACAATATACTTATTTTTTTAACTTCATACTGCAACGTTTTCACATTCACTGGTCAATATTTTGCACATTCCTGAACAAATAAAATATCTTAACTGAAAATTAGTTATATACACATTAGAAAAAGCACAAAACAGACATCATTAGTTCATAGCCATACATTGTGTCTCTTGTGTGTCAGACTATTGCCATTTTTTTGTGTGTGTAAATGAGCACAGGCCCCTCTGGCAAAAAACAGCCCAATTATAGATTGACAGACATGGTTATGTGTCCATGTGCTGGCTGGGTGAGAATCAATATGTAATTTAACACATAGCAGAATAAACAGGACTAGCGTACCATCTGCAGAATGACTCTGGTGACTCCTGTCACACATCCAGGGACATGCACGCACAGATGAATTAAACATATGGTTCAGGTAATATTAATAATATTGTGATTTTACTCATCAAATGTGTTATATCTGACAAACCACTCGATACAACGATCAGCCATAACATTTTGACCACCTCGGCACCCTGGTCATTCGCTCCCCATGTGCATCAATGAACCTTGGCCCCCATGACCCTATCTCCAGTTCACAGCTTTTCGTTCCTTGAACCACTTTTGATAGGTACTGACCACTGCAGAGGGGAACACCCCACAAGAGCTGCAGTTTTGGAGCTGCTCTGACCCAGTCGTAGCCATCACAATTTGGCTCTAGTCAAAGTCGCTCAAATCTCAGGCTGCCCATTTTTCCTGCTTCTAACACATCAACTTGAGAACAAAATGTTCACTTGCTGCCTAATATGTCCCACCCACTGACAGGTGCCATGATAATGAGGTAATCAGTGTTATTCACTTCACCTGTCAGTGCTCATAATGTTATGGCGGATCAGTGTATACTACTCTATGAGGTTAAGACTGATGCATTAGAGCACCCTCTTCTGGTAAAACACATAGATGATAGCTATGTGGGTACTATCCCCGACTCTGCCCTGAAGTGAGCAGGGTGTATAAACAGCATGGTGTCAACTGGGACACAGAAAACCTACATGAACAAGTCCATGTAAATATAGATGCTGAAGACATGGGGTTATTTGTAGACAGAACAAGTGTTATGAATAATGTATTATTACTCTTGCTGCTAATAACCCATAGAGCCACTAAACTTATATAGATAAACACCTACACTGTTAGCTTAGGTAATTGCTAACCACCCATACATTATGCAATTGCATGCACAATGTGCACGCACACACATGTACTCACACACACATACATGCGCACATACATACATATGGGGTGTGAATGTGGAAGACACACACAAGCACGCTCGTGTGATTATTTACCGAAAGTCCCACATGTGTATATTTATGTGTGTATTTATGTGTGTATATGGGTTGTCAAATGAATCAACCAACTAATATGGAATGCCTCACTAGCACCTAGATCTAGGAACTGTCCAAACATGTGAATGCACACCAACAATATACATAAACTCGTAATAGAGACACAGGCATTGTACAGCGTAGCGTGATGTTCACATGAATTGACAGGACAAGCGCGTACACACCTAACCTTGAACATATATCAAGAAAGCTCATTAACCATATTTGGATGTGGGGGTGAAGTGGAATGGTAGTGAAAACACAATGAGCTTTTCTGCATTGCTGAAAGCAGAGGAGATCAGTTGAAAACAAGGGTAGTCTGCTTCAAAGTGCTTCTATTGTTTAAGCCATAGATTGTGTCAGGTAAGGAAAAAAATAATAATAATAAAAACACCCACCCAACCCAAAATTGTATTATAATTATAATTATTATTATTATGATTATATTAACATTAAGTTTAATAATATTCTTCTTTGAATTATTTCCTTCAATTTCTTCAGAATTAAAATTAGCATATATTTAAGGTGTACAAGGACAAACAATAAAACAAAAAATATATATTGCATGCATTTTATTAGGAAATGTGAGCCTGCTGTTGATGTGGGGAGAGAGAGCACAATCTGCAGGTCTGACTCTACTGACAGGCAGTTTATTGTCTTGTTGTCAAGTATACCAGGGAGGAGAGAGCACACATCACACAAACATAATATTGGGAGCACACAATACCCCAGTGAATGCGCTATTGGACAGTAATGGATATCCATCCAAGCAGCCAAAAGCTTTCCTTTAAGCCGTTAGCAGAGTAGTGTAGAGTCTGATTTTAAGTTGGTTGGTTATATTTGCAGACAAAACATAAACTGTAGTTAATATAAATGTTTTCATCCAAATGAGTCCATCTGGCTCACATAAATCTCACAATTTACATGCAGGTTACAAGATGGTAACCTTGCTTTATTGTGCCGTCTGGTGTCGATGTTAAGACGTGTTACCTTCTTAAAGGACCAGTGTGATTGCAACTAACTGAACACCGCTCGCACCTGTATTTGATGACCTAGGAATGATAACAGGATGTGAAGTGTGTAGGAGAAACTATGGTGGATGCAAAACTGTCAGGTTAGTCCATATCTACAGCCAGTGTTTCATGTGTCTGTTCTGGGTGACTGTAGAAACATGGCAGTTCAACATGGTGGCCTTCATGGAAGACGACCCACAGCATCTGTAGATAAAAACACCTTGTTCTATGGCAACTGGCCTTTTGAATAACTTTCTGTGATTTTGTTATTGTATTTATGTATTTATGGTCTCATTGTTGTGTTGTCTATTGTTTGTTGTCTAATTGTGATGTTGGTTATACATATACTGCTGACTTTACAACAAATTGCCCTTTGGGGATAATAAAGCTACCCTCAGACCTTCTAAGGTAATAAAAACACAACAATTCCTATATTTAGGTGATTATACACAAATGAAAACATAAATATTATATTCCATTTCTGCCAATAGATCATCTTAAATGTTACACACTTGTCCTTTATATAATCAAATCAATGAAGGTTTGAGAGCTGAATTTTTGAATGTGTGCCTTTTACAGGCATTCTACAGTCTTTTGCACAGTTGCATAGCAAACACATGGAGGCCAATTACAGTTTGGGCCATCTGTCTTGCTTTTCTCTCCCAGGCTTCCTATAGGAATTCATTAAAAAAACTATTCCAGTAGTCCTCACTATGGTTTGCTTCATAGGAATACACATTTAGCTAAGTCAAGTACTTTACAGTAATGACGCGGGTCAGTCATGTGTAAAGAATGTGACAGATGGTACCTCTCGCAGCCATGTTTATACATTTGAGGATTCCTTCTCTCATTAGAATTGAGGGAGCAGATTTGGCATCCTAAACTGAATGTAGAGTTTGTTTTTACATTGGATTGTGACTAACATCTAAAACACTAAAGATGCATGATTTAAGGCACAAACGTTTTAAACAAGAGCTGAATTCTTCCTAATTATTGTGCACAACAACAGCATGATGCAAGTAGTGTAGCATGGAATACAGTGATACTTCGGATATACAGCTTACTATACTTTTGTCCCAAGATGTCATTGATCTGACTGGTTTGGGCAGTTCTGTGTGTGTCTTGCGCCACCTTGCTTTAATTTTGCTTAGCTGTGTCCTTTCTCAATCGTTCCTCCAACCACCTCCCATGAATCCGTCTGCCAGGTAAAATACCCCTGCCAAGCATCCATTCACTGCTGCTGATCACATCTGCCAAGCTAAAAGCCTGGTCAGTAAATGTTAATAGCCCAGCCAGACCCCTGGTATGGGATTTTCAGCCCACTGATCAAGCTTATTCTGTTGCCGATTATGTTATCTTGTCATTTATCCACTCTCTCCCACCGTCGCCTATCTGTCCCTCTTTCTGACACTCTCTTTTCTCTCTCCATATGGATATATTGATCTTTTCCACTGGACTGCTAGTTTCACAGTCAATTCTACCAACCTATTTCTTTTTGTAATGGTACATAATCACCCGAGCCAGGCCTGTTTCAAGTCTGCTGGAACCCAGCTAAGAGACATTGTTTCTGGGATCAATCAACTCAACGTGGTGTTCAGCCTCCACTGGCAGGATAACAGCCATCCTTAGCAGTGAGAGCACACAAGAGCTGGGACAGGGTCCATTACCAGACTGTAGACTTAGAAGTTGTACAACTAACTGTAAATTAACCTATTCATCCATTTTTCACACACACAGACACACACACATAACACACATACACACACACACACAGAGACAAAACCCCTTCCTCCGCTGAGAAATGGAACATGTAATGACTTCAGTCACGTGGATGTGGTAGGAGCAGCTTGTATTAAGTTTTGATGCTGTGATTCCCAAACCCATGCAGACACACACACTCTCTCTCTCCGTTGAAAGCAGGTCATCCTCAGTGCTGGAATAATTGAAGAAGTACACAATTACAATTACACACATACATGCGTGCACACATTTTTCATTTGTTTGTATGCAAAAGAGAGGGGGGGGGGGGTAAAGTGCTCATTTAATGTTCATGAACTGAGCACTACTCTCTATTTCCCAATGAAGCAGCAGAAAAGCCTCTTCCAGCATGCCCAGTTACATGTTTCTCTTCAGCAACCTCTAACCAAACAGGACAATGCGGCACATGGGCATATTGTACGTAACAGCACTCATCATTTTCCCAGCGTATGCTGGTTTTCACTGCCCTCATCTACCAATGTCCTCCTGTTCCTCTTCTTCCTCTTATGAAACACATTCATTCATATCTAAGGGATACACTAAATGTATTTTTTTCCTGTTACAACCTCGTAAGAAAACGTAAAATCATATTAGTTTTTATACTGCTACTAACTATTTAAGTTTCTCAGTATACCACATAGAGTGTGCTACAAATACTACCACCCCAACCATCACCTGAAAATGAAAGAAATCTTCACTTGGGGACTGCAAAGACGACAGATATGCACAAACAATTTCCCTCAGAGGAATCAAGCTGATGCTGATTGTTGTGGAAATCATAGAAAATAACAAAGGCTAAAGCTGAAAATGTTCTCTATTTTTCTTATTACCAACAAATCATATTACAAGACTAGATGGAAACCTAGTATGTGGCTGGACAGTGTTTCCTAGTTTGTAATACTGAAAATAATGTAACATTGCAATACTTTCATCAGAGGCCATTCTGCAGGCTGGATGGGAAGCTGGTAACTCACAGTACATTCCCCATGTTCACGCCTATTTTATTTGAAAGAACAACAGCTGATCGGAAAACTCCCAACACTCGACCAACCAATGATATAAAAATGAACATGAATCAATCCCATAAAAAAGTACTTCCTGTCTAGTCAAAGCCTGATATACCATATTCCTCTGTACCATAGACATATATTGGTGTCTTAAAACTATTAAAAAGTGTTGCACTGGGTGACATTAATCATTATCATTACTACCAACACAGACACTATAGTTTCTTTTGTGTCAGAGCAAAATAACTGATATCTTTGTCACTTTTTTTGTTGATTAAACAAAAAAAAAAATGCCAGCTTTATCTTTTAAAATATGCTGTGCAAAAAATATTGTAAATAGAGACCAAGGTAAGAACCTCATTGTCTACTCATGAATGAGAGTTTCAAGTTGTCACTGTAGTATAAAGAATCAAAGGTGGTCTTTGGTCCTTAAAGATTTCCCTGTAAAACTGCACACAGTTCTAGGCTGGCACTGATTTCAGTCTGATCGAAAAATCGGGAAAAAAAACTACAGCAAAAACAGTTTGCTGCTATCATCCAAGTTGCACCTGACAAAGTGCATTAATGTGCAGTGAGGACAACCCACTTGGGAGAAATATCCCTGATCTTTGGCCATTTTGGTGCCACACTCTCACCTGAACTACTTCTCTTCAATCTTCTTTTTCAGTCCATTATCACAACAGGCAACAAATAGAGTGGAAATTATAACCAAGTAGAGGATACCTCTGCTTCAGACTGTCACTCAAGTACACACAAGTGTGCATGTGTGTGCAAACACACACAAACATGCAGTGGCAAAGCATGGCATGAAAGCTAATTCAAATCAAAAGGCCCTATGCAGTAACAAGTCTCTGCATTGCATAAGTGTCCTTGAGCAAGACACTGATGCCCCCCCATGTTCAGTGCTGCAGCACATTGTCTCTTCAACAAGCAACAAGACAAAAACGTACACACTTGCATACTTACATAATGCCCAATTTAGATACAGACATGTCAACCCCAACAACCCACAGAACACTGATACTCGACAATTTCAGTGTTTTTGGGTCATTATTCATACAAGGTCTATGTTCGGAAAAACTGTATGGTTAAGTTTAAGCAACTACAACTTCCCAAGCACACAATAATATGTATTTTAAATAACTGGTACCTGGTTGTAGAGAGCACACACATGCAGAGCAGTGTTTCCAGATGCATTCTGGGCACTCATGTCAGCTCCGTAGAACAGCAGGTGTTCCAGGTGTTGCACGTGGCCATAGCGGCATGCCTGAAAGAACAAATTCACAACTTTACTCTTTTTACAAAATTAACCCTTGTTTACTTACAAAGAAAGCACAATGTATATGAGTCGTATGTACATGAGTAGAACAGCATATTTTACAGAGATATTTGTTGTACTGAAGAGGAACAAGAAATGATGTGTGTAAAAGCGTGATGATAAAGCGTAAAAATGTCCCACACTGGATTTTGAGATGTAATTGATGTGCCAAATAAGTCAAAAACACATTGTTGATGCTGCAAAATGCATTCAAGATAAGGCTATGTGAACAAGAAGCAAACAGTATTATGTTACATGTTCATTTTTACATGAAAACAGCACAGTATTTCATGTTCATCCTCATGTATTCACATGGGCCATCACCAGCAGGCCAAATTATTTGGGAAAAAGGAAGATAATAATGTGATTTTCTTTGTTCAAGTCAGTTGTATCCTGGGACAACTCGGTTGCTTGGATCCTGTGTGATGCAAATAAATCTTGCCGTGAGTGGAACTGGTCAATTCTCTCGATTTTCTGTAAGTTTGTCACCATCTGGGTTCCTTTTGTGGTCTCTCACTATAGTTCACGATAGCCTAAATTAAGTCAGATAGACATCAATCAAGATCCATTGAGGCAAGAAAAATTATACCACAACACACAAAAGGCAGCCCAAATATATGTTTCTTAAAAGAAAACTATTAAATCTTTTCATTGTGTTTTTCCTTGGACTAATTCTCCTCCCTCAAGTAGCTAAAAGACCACGAAAGCAAGAGAAAACATTGTTTGTATCACCTGTGGCTGTCAGCTTTTTTGTTTCACATAACCGTGAGCAAAAAAACGTTTCATCTAATCAAAATGTCCTCTCTCCCTCCCTACTCCATGGTTTTGTCCTGTGTCATTGACAAGAAGCACACCAACTCTCCCCAGCAATTGTTTTCTCTCTCCTGTGTTCTGTCTCGCTAAGAGTGTGTGACAGCAGTGAGGCAGCGCACAAATGATGCTGGGATTGTTGTTGGTTATCAGACCTTCAGCAGTGTATCCTATTGTACACGATATATACTACTAGAATACCAATGCTGAAAAGGACACAGAAAAAGGCAGACAAGATGAGAAGGTTAAAGAAATGTAATAGGGAGAAAATGTGTAGGGCTATTGGATTGTATAAAAAACACAACTCCTCATAGTTTCCTTTCCCTCAGTGTATGTCTTCATTGCTCTCTACAGTCATATTTAAACACGCTTTCTTTAGGGAACAGAATGGAGGACAGATATGCTGGTGATGGAAACAGCACCACTGTTCTAAGAAGCCCACAGAAAACACACCAGAGAGCTATCAGTTGCCTCATGCAAAAATATTTTTGTAGTTTTTCCAATTTTAATTCTCTGCTCCTACTCACATTCACAGAACTCTCTTAACTGCACAAAGTTGTCGTAAAATCAATCCTTTCAGAGTACTGATGCTTCCTGTTCATGAGGATGTGCACGTTCATGAGATTCGATCATTGGCATAACAAACTCCCTTAAAATTCCCATATAAGGCCATCTGCTCTGCTCTGTGTGTGTGTGGGCAGGTTTCATTCACAAAAATGTCATACAACGGTAAAAAGAAGAGTTTCACTGCGGAGCTTCAAGTCCTGCTGTCAGAAATAAGCAAACAAAACCATTCCAAATTAAATTTAGTTGTCAGTAGTTGTGTTAGACCACTTACAATATTTTCAATGACGTGTCATAAGAGCAGCAGTATACTGTGACAAACATAAAGAGGGAATGGTTAAGGCTACACAAATTTAAATGCAAAAAAATGCCTCTCTAAAGCAAAGTGGTCCATGACTCATATTGAAGATGGTCAAGGGGACATTAATCACAGAGATAGTAGATAACAGAATAGTTTAGCCTACAGTAGGTGATGCTGACCCTGTTGGGTGCAACAGAGGATGATACTGGACCTGCAGGGACCTGCATAAAAACCCAGAGGCAGCTGAATGCAGAGTAAGAGAATTTTCATAGTAACTACTGAAGCATCTCAGTAAATTAGCAATGCCACAAATCTATGCATTTGACTGCTCCTTGAATGAGGCCAATTGTCTTCCAGTAGAGTACCTTTGAACCAATGTGCCTCTTTGTGAGTTTCCATCATACTGGCATGTTCAATGAAACACTCTACAACACAAGGGTTACAGTAGTTCACCAATAACTCTACTCTAATAAAAACTAATTCATTTTTCAGTTCAGAAAAGAGACAAAAACTACTTGTCAACTTTTAATCTTGCTCATTATTACTTTGAGATGATCTACACTAGGCTGATAGTGTAGCGTAACTATCTTTTCTTCTGCTACTCACTTATTTAGTATTTAATATTTATTTTATTTACAGAAACAGATAAAATAGTAAAAATAAAATAAAAGTATGTGTGATGTAATCAATTCTTATAAAAATATTGGTACATTTTCCAAAGAAGACTCGAGAAGGTGTCAAGTGTTTAGCATTAGCTTGATTCCCATACTCTCATTACAAATGTTACCATTCAACATTTCCTCTGCACTATTTCGTAGCAGAAACAGAAATGTTTGGTTCCATTAACAGTACAAGAACCTTCAGACCTCTTCTTTCTGTCACTACTACGGGTGGAAAATAGCAATTTGC